GAGAGAGAGAGAGAGAGAGAGAGAGAGAGAGAGAGAGAGAATGAGAACAGACAGACTGAGGAAAGGGCAAAGGGCGATTTTACAATTGCCTTAGTCTTTGCAGGGAAAGACAAAGGCAGTCTCTTTAATGGATGACTGGAGTAAGCTTTTCCCATTTAAACTGGAGGGTGGGCCGGTACACGCAATGTTGATTGTCAGAAGAGTTCAAAGGACAGCCTTTGAGATTCCTTTTTCTCCTTCTATCATGTATGCTGGGGGAATGAATTCAGTTCCCTGGCCCTCCACTAGGCCTTTTAATGGAGTCCATATAATGCATGCATTTCTTTATTTTTTAAACCTTCTCTTTATTTATTCTATATCTTTCACATCATGCATCTCAATCCCATTTATTTCACCATTCCTTCTTATCTGCCTCCTGCCCTTGCAGCACCCCCCACAAAAAATAAATGAAAAATCTCATCATGTACTGTACTGTGACAAAAAGAGTCACACAGTAACCGCTTCTATCTATGTATCTATATGCAAGTGTTCATTGCAAAGAGTCACTGGTCTGATTTGAGGCCCCTGGTTTCTGCTACATTATCAATGCTGGGCTCCCTTGGATAGCCTGTTGTCACCCTATGTCATAGAGATCCTGCAGTTTTGGGTTTGCAGGACTGGCCCTCCACATGCTCCCGCAGATAACAGATGGGGTGGATGTAAGGCACGGTGAGCCAAGTCATAACCCTAGTTCTGGGCCCACCAGCTCTCCCTTGTCCTCACCACTAGGGTGAGCTCTCCTGCACTCCCCTTGCAGCAATGAGCAAGAGGCAGGGACGGTTCTACTGCTTCTGCTTCTACTGCTTTTGTGCTCCCAGGGTAGGCTCTCCCACACCTGGACCATCAGGGATTAAAGACCTTACATTTCTGATTCATTTGTCAAAACTGACAAAACAACAACAAAAAATCCTTCAAAAAGAAATATAACCAATTTGGGTTTTTGTTGTTGTTGAGATAGGGTCTCACTGTGCAGTCCTGGATGTCCTGGAACTTGCTTGTGTACATCAGGCTGGCCTCAAAGTCACAGAGATCCTCCTGCCTCTGCTTCCTAAGTGCTGAAAGGCATAAGTTACCATGTTCACTTTGAGATGTGAGAAAGAGAACTTAGTTTTGTCTCAAGAAAGATTACCTATCAACTGACAATTTCAATGTTAAAGAGAGAAACAAATGAGACAGTTACTTCAAAAAAGAGATTATCTTTTATTTAATAACAGACATAAGACAGTCCTCTATGAAGTGGGGGTCCACTCACTGACCTAAGTCCATTTTGCCCCTCTCTAACTCAACTTTACCTGTGATTTTTTTTTCCTTCTGAATTCTCCTGAGTCATTCCCTCCTACAGATTACCTCAGATTCCAAGAACAGC